AGATGGACTCCTACGAGTGGGCCCTCAAGAGCTGGTCTCAGTGCTCAAAGGCATGTGGAGGAGGTACTTTTTCCTTTGTATTGTAGTTACCTTGTGCTCTTGTGAGGCTGACTGGGCACACTGATCATTGCTCTGTGCTGAAATAAATGAAAAGGCTTTAGTGAGCTGTGCTGGCTCTTGCTGCTTTCCTTGCTGGCATGGGTGCTGGAAGATTTTGGGACTCATGGAGATGGAAGCCGAGCCCTCGCTGGCTCTGCTGACCTTGCTGCAGCCGGGCTGCCTGCGGGGTGACAGACAGTTCATGTTTTACGCTAGCTTAGCCCCAATCTGCTCTGCTCCCAGGCGAGCACCATTCACTTGGCAGAGCGCAGCAGCTCTTTGGCTGCATTTGCTGCATGCTGCTTGTTCTTCCTGGCTGCAAAAATGTGGCTGAGTTCCTCCAGTCCACCCTACCTGCCCGTGGGTGGCTTGGGGGAGGAAGCCCTGGGTCTGCTCAGCCCTTGAGCCTCTCTCTGCTCACACCCCTGTGAGTATCCCCTGAGCGAGTCAAGGCAGTGTGCTTGGGTTCCCTGCAGCTTTGGGGACCCATCGTGGTTGGGCTGCAGGAAGACAGGGAGTGGGAGAATCCTGACTCTACCCCCTGCTTCCCAGGCATCCAGTACACCAAGTACGGCTGCCGGCGAAGGAGCGACAACCGCATGGTGCATAGGAACCTGTGCGATAACAGCAAGAAGCCCAAGCCCATCCGGCGGCGGTGCAACTTGCAGGAGTGCTCCCAGCCTACGTGAGTCCCTCGGAATGGGTGGGAGGTTGGATGGGTGGTGGATGGATGCTCCCATCCCACCCTGCTGTGCAATTTCAGCTGCAATTTGCCCTACACGGACCTTCCCCTCTCCTTCTCTCCCCTCCCTCCCCCCCGCCACTAACGCTGTCCCCAACCCCTTGCAGCTGGGTGGCTGAGGAGTGGAGTGCCTGCAGCAAGTCCTGCGGCAAGCTGGGACTGCAGGTGCGGGCCGTGCAGTGTGTGCAGCGCCTGCGGGATGGCACCAACCGCACCCTGCATGCTAAGTACTGCAGTGCTGAGCGGCCCGAGACCCGCCGGCCCTGCAGCCGCCTGCCCTGCCCGGCACAGTGGAGGACGGGTGCCTGGTCGCAGGTAAGTGATGTGGGGATGGGGCTGTGTGTTCGTCTCAGAGCTGCTTATGGGGGTGCCTGGCTGTCACCCACATGCCGTGTTTCTCTCCCTGGGCGCAGTGCTCAGCCAGCTGCGGGGACGGTGTGCAGCAGCGGCAGGTGGTCTGCAGGGGTGAGGAGAGCGGAGGGCGCTGCCATGGGGACAAGCCAGAGGCCGTCCGGGGCTGCCACGTGGCTGTCTGTCTGGGTGAGAGAGAGGGTGTGGGGACAGCCTGTGGTATGGGCTCGCTGCAGGTGGCTGCAGATTTTCTGTCAGATTGGTGACGACTTGAGCAAGGGTAGAATGGAGGTGGGCACTCTGGAGTTAACAGCTAGATTATTTTTGGGTAGCCAACCAGACATTTCCCAAATGATCTTGTTTTTAAGAAAATATCTAAAAAAGTCACCAGGAGTACACCTTTAAGGTATTTCAAGTGCCTCCATACATGGTGCTCTCTCTGCAGGGAAGCCCTCTGGCATCACCGCCAGTGCCAATGCTAGTGACCACGTCACACCTGGAGGGCAGTGGGAGCCCCGGGAGAGGCCCCAGAACCCTGTGAGCAAGATCTCCTCCAGTAAGTGCCCCAACATACAGCCCCATCCCTGCACTGCTCATCTCAGACTAGGGGCACATTCTCCACTGTGCCAGGCAGGGCAGGTGGCTGCAAGGCTGGTGGATCTCAGGTGACTCAAGCACACATTGCATGGCCTGTGTCTGCAGCTCAGCTTGCTGCCATCTTCCTGCAAGTGTTAGGGGGAAGGAGGTATCCTGCAGCCTGTTTGGGATGAATGTAACCTCATCCAGCTTCCTGTGGTGCACAGCCTGGCGCCAGGTTGCCACCTCGTGGAGTTGGGGATCCACCACAGCTTCCATCCTGGGACTGACTTGATGCTCCAGCTCCTTCACCTCTTCCATCCAAGCATTGCCAAAATTGCTGCAATGGGGCAAAGAGCACGGTTAGCACTGGTGCCTGGTGCCCTTGTGGGAGGTGAATACCACTGTGACCGCATGTGCTCACTGATGCTCTGTCTCCGCTTTGTTTCTCTCCAGGGGAGCCCTGCCTCGGGGACAAATCCATCTTCTGCCAGATGGAGGTCCTGGCACGCTACTGCTCCATCCCTGGCTACAACAAGCTCTGCTGCGAGTCCTGTGGCAAGAAAGCCTCCGTCACTGCCTCACCCACCGGCACCCCCATGGGGACCTTTGTGGGGATCCCCAGTCCTACTGACCCCAGCTCCTCTGTGCAGGGGACACCCGGTGCTGACCCCACCACTGCAACTCTCAGGGAGGTCCCAGCCCCAAGTGAGTCATCTGTGGGGACAGAAGGTGAGGGGGAGGGGCAGGCAGCCAGGTAACCCCGCATGACCCCTCAGCTGGAGCCGTTCTCCTCCATCCTCCTTCTCCATCTCTGCTTTTTTCCCACTTCCTGCAGTGGTTTTCCTGGGCAGCCAGGTTTGGAAATGACCTGGCCCTCTCCAAAATTCCTGGGGAAACTGCTGTTTTCTCGTGATTTTCATTTCCCGTCTCCCAGCTGTGGCATTTTTTTTTTGGCAGTGCCACAAAGGAAAAAAAGGTCAAATGGAGCAAAAAGCAGCTTGGCTGCTCTAGACAGGGTTCTTACCTCCATGTGTGGCTCAGAGCCCCGGGCCCATGAGGCATGGGCCACCAACTTCCAAGGTGCTAAACTAGGGGCTTTAAGGTTGCCTTTTCTTCTCCCTCTAAGCAGTAAGATAGGAGAGGATTGGAATGAGGACCCTGGCTCTTTGGCCAGCCACTGCCTCCTCCAGGTACCAGCACATTTGTCGTGGTGCTCACAGAGACCCAGCTTTGGGTCGGAGCATGAGGTTGCTGAGGAAGCTTGGGTCTCCCTTCAAAACCTCTCTTCTGTGACCTCTTTTAGGAGGACCAACCATAGCACGAGCAATAAGGACAAGGCCAAAGACCAAAACCAGGGTTTCAAAAATGCCTGTCACCCAGTGGTGACTTTTCAGCCAATAATGCCCTTGGCCAGCTTTGTACTAATACCAACTTCTGGCATCCCCAGGACCATGACCCTCTTCTTCCATATGCCCAGTGTCTGTGGAACACCAAGGCGTGTGGAGATCCATGGGGAAAACCAGGAAGCCCAAGTGCCGGGAGGGATGCCACTGTGTCCCCAACATCAAGCTGAGCTCAGCTCTAAGAAGAGCACCGAAGGGTCACGGCTATGCTGGAGAGCTGCCTTCTTGCACCTCCACCTTTTGTCCCATGGTGGGAAAAGGGTTGGGATTAACGCCATTAAAAATATTGTGCCAAGTACTAGATACATGCACAGCACTTTAGAAGAATAGGGCTCTACGCAGCTTGCAGGGGAGCTGGACCTCAGCTGAGGATGCTTTGCCCCTCCATGGGCTGTGGGTGCTGGTAGGGATGAGGCTCTGGGCTGCTGAGGTAGATCTGAGGAGGGCCAGGCAGATGTTGTAAGGTGTGCATGGCTTGGTGCACCTGAGGCAGTGATGGTGTTGCCTTCCTGGCTGCATGAGAGGCAGGATGGGCATCTCTAGAGCAGTGAGCGTGTTCTTCAGTTCTGGGGATGCCTCAAATCCATTTTTTCCTTACCTGGGAGTACAGGTGTTGGGCACCTTCCTTTTGTGTCAGGAGAACAGAGTGGGAGGCTGAGGACAGGATGGTAGGTGGACAGAAGGCTCTATTTTTGGTGCTCAGTTTCTAAGAAGGAAGCCCACAAAGAGCATATGCAGGGAACTGCTCCTTTGTCCTTCACTATCTCCAATTCACTTTCCAAACTCAGCTATAATTCAGCAATGGTTCTGTGCATGTCCAGGGCTTGCTGATGAGGTGGCCAGAGTATAGGGCATGCCCCATGAGCAGCACAATGGCTTTAGGATGCGCTGCTTTTGGGATGAGTGATCTGCAGTGCCATTAGTGCATGAGCAGAGTGCTGCATCCACAACATACGTGGTGCTGGGAGATGTTTGAGGCTAGAGCATTTCATGTTGGCATGCAAGCCCCCATCACCCTTTGCTGGTGCTACCAAATGGTACCAAAAGAGCCGAAGGGATGTTAAGATGCTCCTGCCCCACATCACTCCTAGTCTTGAGGCAGGATGACCCGAGTGCTGCATTAAGTGGATGCCATGAGAGATGGAATGGAGCCCCGTGTCTGAGCCAGCAACCAGCACACCTCATATCCTGCCGCATCTCATGCCCCTCACAGGGCCCTCCTCTGGGAGTGCCAGCATTTATTTATTGTGCCAAAGATAATGCTTCACTGCAGGTGCTGTTTACAATCCCAGGAGCCTGCAGAGCAGGGCAGGAGAATGCACAGATCTCTCCTGCAGCTTCAGCAGCTGTGTCAGTACAGGATTGTAATGTCTGCAGGGTGCAGCATGCATGCATACTCACCCAACCTCCAAAAAGTTGTCAGCTACACTCCTCTGTTTGATGCTGTCCTGGGCATTATGGCTTTCTTGCGTTAGTTTTTGCGGTGGTTCATTGCTGTATGGCAGAGGAGGTTGGTGCCTTAGGGCTGCCTCAGCCTTGCTACCATGGAGGCGTTGGTGCAGGGCTGCTGTGTGCCAGTGGCATTCTCCCAGTCATGCAGAGGCTGCAGTATGCAGCATGCCCACTTCACCTCACACCATGCTGCCTGCCTCCTTGGTCAGCGCTGCAATGTGTAAAGTTTTGTACATACCAGATTCAGAGCTTTTTAACTTTTAATATTTATTAATTTTGTTGGGTTCAATTTTTTTTTTTTTTTTTTTTTTTTTTTTTGAACTCTAACATAATGTAAAGAAAAAAGAAAATGAAAAAAATCCACATCACTGTCTCTTTCTGTTGATTTATTTAGAGTGTGGGAATAGTGTGGTATGGGAACACATGACCTGCGTGTGATTGAAAGGGGTCTTCCATAGTAAGCTGCCACTTCTGTCTTTTATTTAATTCCTATTTATCAGCCAGGGTTTCACGTGGCTTTTGCAAGCGGCTTTATCTTTCCATTAAATAAGCAAAGCCACTGGGATATAGGCTCCAAGCCCCCCAAAGTGGCTCCAGTCATGCTTCATGGCTCCAGAAGGAGCTATGAGAGGAAAGGTGGGTTTCTGTCTGTGCTTTGCATGGTGCCTGCCTTGGTTCTATGGTTGCATAGGATGGGAAATCCTATCCACAGAGAGAGGCAGTGGAGGAGAGGTGCTGGCGGAGGTGCCCGATGAACTTGGCCTGACACTGTGGCAGGACGCGGTTGGTGACCGAGGTGGGGATCCAGCCCTGGGGGAGAGAAATACATGAAGGATGATGGGCGCTGGGCCGGCACGGGGGCACTGCCACAGCGCTGCTTACCTTCAGGTCCATGCTGAGCAGCCACGTGACACGTGTGCAGCTTGGGTTGCCTGGCAGCGGCTGCAGCACAATACAGCTCAGCCGCGTCTCAGCCCTGCAGGACAGGGTGGTTACGCCACAAAATAGCAGGCCTGGAGGTGAGACCTCCTCCCCATAGGCCCCACAGCCTGTCGTTTTGTGACCTGTGTTACCTGACGCAGCCCTGTGGTGCGGGTGGCTGCTCGAGGTGGGCAGTGGTGCCCACCAGGTAGATGGCTGCCCGCGTCCTGCTGCGGTGCCGCGTGCTGACAAAGTCCCTGCGTCCCACTGGGCTGGCAGCCGTCACCTCGTGCGTCACCAGCGTGTCCTCACCTGGGCGGCAGAGCACCTGCGGGCCCGCAGAGCACACGCATTGAGTACGGTGGGATTTCAATGGGTCTTCATGCCCACCGGCGGTCCTGCTGCCTACCTCCACGTGGCTGAGGCTGGGGTTCCAGCGGGGCATCTCCTCCAGCCGCTCAAACAGCTCACCCTGCAGCCTGCCCACAGGCACCGCCAGCACCGCCTCGGCCCGAAAGACGCGGCCCAGCCCCGGCAGCGCGGTGCTGGACATGGCAGCCTCTGCGTTCTGCAGGCACAGCACCCACGTCAGGGCTGCACCCCGCGCCTTGGTGTGGGGTTTGTGGTGTGCATGGGGTCAGGTCAGTTACCGGTGCGGCCTCTGGCTGCCAGCAGTGTGGCTGCTGCAGGATGCCCAGCGCTCGCTGCAGGGCCCTTTCTCCCTGGTGGATGTAGGACAGGTCCGTGCTGGAGGGCTGCGTGTCTGCTTCGGGCTCTATGCACCTGGCTTCAGGAGCGGGTGGAAACACAGAGAAGTGTGAAAAATCCACCCCCTCTGCCCAGCTTTGCATACATGTGGAGGGATGGGGTGTGGGTACAGCAGCGCATGCCAGGTGAGTTCACCATGTTTTGAGTCTTCAAGTGAGTTGGTGGGGTCTGCAGCCACAGACATCAAACCAAACCCTGGTACGTGGCTGTCACCTCCACTAGATGCTCTGGTGGCCTTTACAGCTCATTAACCTTTTAGCATCCCCATCAACGCTAAAGATACTTTAAGCTACTGGAGTGATGTAGAGCAGCCCAGAGACCAGAATCATAGAATCATTCAGGTTGGAAAAGCCCTCTCAGCTCACCCAGCCCAACCCCAGTCCACTCCCACCTGCGCACTGCCCATGTTCCTCAGTGCTACATCTCCACAGCTCTGCAGCACCTCCAGGGATGATGTCTCCACCACCTCCCTGGACATCAATACAGCACCACTCTTTCTGAATAAAATGTTTCCTAGTATCCAGCCTGAACTTCCCTTGGCACAAATTAAGACGTTACCTCTCATCCTTAAGGCAGCTCTGCCCCCCTAATAATCAATGCATCTGATGGCTCATCCCTCCCCATCCCTCATTGCAGTGGGGCTGAGGAATGCACTGTCCAAGGGTCAGGGCCGCACAGGCTGCTCACCAGCATCCTTCCCCATGAGCCTCTGGATACAAGAAGGAATTCCGGAATGCAGGCAGTGGGGATCTATCAGCTCCTGCATCACCGCGGTGGCTGCTGTCTTCAGGCCTGGGGAGAAACATGCTAGTGACCACTGAGGAAGATGTATGCCATGAAAAGCAAAAGCATGCACTCATTTGATCTGGAAACGAGCTGCATCAGTATTGGCTGAATCAACCAGGTCCCAGCTGAAAACTTCATTGCTTTTACAATTTTCACTTAGCATCTCTTTGCAGTCCCTCTCAGCATCTTTTACTCCCTCCTTTAGGACCCCCTTAGCATCTCCTTCAGGGCCCTCTGAGTATCTTCTTTTCAGTCTCTTTAGTCTCTCCCCCTAGCATCTCCTTTGGAACTTTCAGAGCATAGCATCCTCATTTCTGCATGATTTTTCTAGGGACGTGGGGAGAGAGTGGTGCTTACCAGGCAACTTGCGGAGGTGGTCGTGGGCAATGCCGCAGGACAGCTTGATGATGGCCTGCAGCATGTCACGGGTTGGGGCTGCCAGCCTGCATGCACGCACAGCATCTCCTTTTGCCTTTATAGCAGGCATGAAGGACAGCACCTGATTATAGGAGCGTGCCACAGATAGGAGCTGGGAATGAAGAGTGCTCAAGGACAAGGCGAGCAGAAGGAGGGGCTGGAGGAAGAGGGTATGTTTTCTTCTGAATGAGCACTCACTGCACTGTGGTTTATTGGGGATGGCTACAGATGGGATGTGGCTGAAATGTGACACTTCTGTGGCTCCCAGCCTGGATAATTTACTGGGGACGATGGCTGCACACCCAGATTGGCAAAGGCGACCAGTGGCACTTGTGTGGCAGTTGAAGATGCTGGAAGCCCTGCTTATTGAAAATCCTGCTTCTTCCTATGGGAGCTCCTTAGAAGTCACGATGGTGATTGCTGTTGCCATAACTCCTCAAGCCACTCCTTAATATCTCCTCACCTACTTTATTCAGTCCTAATTAGTCCCCACAGGGATAACTTCATGCTACCTCCACTCCTGTGGGCACAGTTGTGCCCAGTTACACCTTACAGCTTTTCCACTTGCTTACTGATTGCTGCAGTGGGTACATAAGCATCTCCACCCACACTGCGGCTCCCTTAGCGCTCCATGCCTGAGAACTGCATGGGAGATTTGCTGAGTGGATTTGCCATGGAAATGCTGATACGTTTTTATTTTATTTTTATTTATTACTAGCTGCCTAGGATTGAAAAGTAGTGAATGGTAAGAGATCTGCCCCAATGCTTTAAATGTGCAACTATGAAGTAGCGCCTATCTCCTGTGCATTGTCTATCTTCTCACACACATGCTGCTCAGTTTTGTGCACGCTGTCTTTGGCATAGTTTTGTCTGTACAGAAAGCTGTACAGCTGTACAGGAGCAGTAGACGCACAGGTAATGTTTTATCATCCCGTTGAGTGAGTGGGACTGTGCTAGGAAGAGGAAACTTTATGGACCTGGGTGCCGGTAGTGAGATACGCACCCAGCCCTTGTATGGCACAGCACCGTGATTCTGCCCTGGCACCTCAGTCGGATTTGGCAGCAGCCGCTGGAGGTCACTGCTGATCTGCAGCTCCACATACAAGGCTTGGGGAGCTGTGCAGAAAAGCTGCTCCTAGGGGCTCCCTGGGGTTGCCATAGGTTTAGCCTCTTGCTGCGGCCCTGGGAGCTGAGCAGCTGCTGTCAAGTGGGAGCACCTCAAGCAATAGGGGAAGCTTGGGTTCTGGCACCCTCTGATCTTCCCAGCCGTGCCTCTCCCCTGTTTCTGGAGTATGTTCTGGACACCCATCATTTCTGATCGTAAAGCTTTAGGACGCTCTTGGGAGGGCAATTGCTCCAGAAGATGCTCTACAGCAGCCAAGCAAATAGAACTGAAATACGTAAAATGCCCAAATCCTGATGAGGAGCTGGTGATAATTTGACCCTCCCTATTTTTGCCCTTCCCCAAGTGGGGCTCAGAGGAAGATGAGGCTTAGTACTGCCTCTTTTCTTATTCAGCCATTGGCTATCAGCAGCTTGGCAGCAATTGGAGCAGTGCAAGGAGATAGGGACTGCCTCCTCACGGTCACTCGGATCCCCCTGTTCAGAGCCGAGGGCAAGACCCAGGTCAGATTCTTTCTGTGTCCTTGAGGTTGGTTCTGTATGAGATTGTCCTGTAACCAGCAGAGCCTTGGTGTAGGGAAAGCTCAGTTCTCAAGCCAAGTCTTGGATAGTCTCCAATACCTTTGCGGAAATGGGAAGGAGAGAATAAGGCAGCATCCCCTGCCTTGTAGAGACCTTCTGTAGGGCTGCTCTCATCCCTAAAGGTGCTCCAGGGGTTGGTAGAAGCAGGAGGAGCCTTGTGTCCCTATCTCAGCCTCACTGCAGTATTTAGCTATGCATCTCTGGGGATCTCTGAATACAGAACTAAAAAGCAGATCTCTGGGAAGCATAGCTTTGGGGTGGCATTGGTCATGCTGTGCTGGCTGGAAGTGTCTATGGGAACTGCTCTTCACTTCTCTGTCTGGTAATGTTAAAAGTCAAAGAGAAAATACAAAAAAAAAAAAAACCACATTGCTTTTGTATCTGTGCATAACCTAAGTGCACAATGTTAATGCCTTCAGGGAGAAGCAGACAAACCCAGGAGGCTGTGCTACTTTAAACCTCAGGGTCTCCATTGTCACAATCCCAGAGTCCCTTTTTTTTTTTTTTTTTTTTTTTTCTGAAAAGCACATTTCCAAATAGAAAGAAGGACTGAGATAATTCAAAGGCATATACTTATCAGGAAAGAATGAAGTGCTGCTTTCCCTGGTGAGCCTCCCTGTAGTACAGGAGAGGTGTTCTGTGTTTGTGCCTGATAACAATCCAGCTTGGGAGGAGAATGCAAAACAGCAGAACAATATTTACTTCAAAATAATTGTGATTTTCATAAATTGTCACCAAAAGATCCCAAATATCAAGAGAAAGGGAAGCTGCTGTATCTCTTTGTTGCTGGAACACTGCCTTCAGCACGTGGGTTTGAGGCTATCCTATCTCCATCTGCTGCCCTTAGGAGCGGAGAAGGGGAACTGCTGTTCAGATGATAAGAGGGGCCAGAGGCTTCTCTGTTAATATGTAAACTTTGGATCAAAAAGAAGACAAGAGGCTCTAGGCAGAAGACATCACTCAATAGGTGGGTTTTTACCCCTCATGTGCAAGCAAAATGCCGGTCTACTGGTATTGGCTGGCTTCCATAAGGAGGAAGAAAGGGATGAGATGGCGATGTGACCCCAGTGGTTTGATTTTTTCCATTTCTGGTTGAATAATGTCTGCATTGAGAGATGATCGTCCAGCACCAACGGCCTGTAGTACTTGTCCAGGCTTTTTGGGAAGACCTCAGTTTCAGAAAGGACCACTTCAGCTTCTTGATCTCTTGCCCTCTGCACTTAAGCCCCAAAACTACATTTGCCCCATAAGATGGACTAAACCACCAGTAATTCATTGCAAATACTCACAGGATGGAGAATTTCCCAAACATTTTGGCAGCCTGTACTCACAGCTTGAACCACATGGTTGCCCAGCTGAATTTTTTGTGACTTGAGACAAGTTCTGCATGCTACCTATGCTAGAGTCAGTGTTTTCTTCCTGTGTCTTTGCCCTGTGCAATCTCAAAACACCTAATTCTTCTCTCTTCCATGCTAAAATCTTGTGTGAGAGCAGGAACTGTTGGTGAGGATCAGCATACTGAGGGGGATAGGCAGAGCTGTTATGGATATGCCAAAGGTCATGAAACATCTCATGGCTCCGTTTTCCTGCTCTCCCGTGGAGCCTCTCCCTGCTCCACAGCCCCCACCCCATCTTCTGATTTCCCCTATTTGTTCCCATTTTTTTGGCTCTGTCTTTATCACATTTCTCCCTGCTTTGAGATGAGGACTGAGACTGCTGGTCTATCCTACAGATGGTGTTTGCTGTTGGGTAGACTCTCTGCATTTAAAGTTTCCTGATGGTTATTGTCAGCTTTCCTTAAGCCTTATGGGTCACATTCCTCTGCTTTCCTTCTGTATCTTCGTGCATCAGTCACAAATCTGACCTCACTGATATCCCAGCAGTTCCCCTCCTGGGCTCATCCCTGCTGCCTGCTGTGACACTGGCCATATCCCTGGCAACAAAGTGCAGCTTCCTGGCAGGAACAACGGAGCAGATCTAAGCTGTGATAGAGCTGGGTTGCCTTCATATGCAAATAGATGCAAACTCATTCAATTACACTAGAAAGAACATACAATAATTGGCAACAGGTTATGCAGTGTTTGGTCTTGCTGTGCTTTCTCCCCCTGAGGATTATTCTGGGATGAATATCTATGTGGCTGTGTTTAAAAAATTAAAATAAATAAAAAAACCAAACAAAGGAAAGAAAACCAACTCACACCTCCTCCAGAAATGTATTTATTTTCCATGCTCCTGGACTCTTTGGCAGCCTCAAAACTGTGCATTAATGTGTGGTGACGTTATTCCCTCCCTTGTGGGCAACTTTCTCCTTGCCAGCTGCAGATGTGATGTTCCATTCCAAATGTTTAATAACTATCAGAGTGTAGCATGCTTTTTTGGGCTACCAGAAACTTATTTGCAAAAGAAGGCTGTGTATCACAAGGCTTGTTATATGGATTTCTCTAGCTTCAGACAATGCCCATGAAGGAGAAGAGTTCAGGTTGAAAAAACTAAGAGGTGAAAAGATCCTGGCTCCAAGCAAGGGGTGCCTCTTGCTGCCCTGCAGCAGTTCCTCTACCTCTTTTGGTGCTTTCATTTCACTTTTTTGTTTTGTTTTGTTTTTACAGCAATCTGTTTGTGGCAGAGATGGGCAGAGGTTTGGCCAGCTCATGGAGAACCAGGGTGCATGGCAGGCAGGGATACGGTAGCCCTGTCCTGTATGTTCTTGTCTCCTACACTCCCTCTTCTGCCATGAGCAGCAGGTGGCACATGTTGGAGTTGGCCTGGTGCAGGGCAAACTCCCGGGCAGGCATGGTGCCCTGCCGGCCTTTTCGGACAGTGCTGCTCTGATTGCCAGCAAATGTGGAGATGGTGAAGATCTCTCTGTTAGAACAAGGGAAAAGCAGGAGGTCAGGAGGCTGTGATGGTGGTAGAGGACCTCATCCACCTACCAGGCTGGCTATTCACACACCTATTTGCATGCGGGACCTTTATCTCCCATTAATTCCCTCTGGTCCCCAAGAAGTCCTTCTCCTTATAAAGCACACAGTCATGGAATGGTTTGTGCTGGAAGGGACCTTAAAGATCATTAAGTTCCAATCCCCTGCTGTGGCCTGGTTGCCCTCCGCCAGATTAGACTAACCAGGGCCCCATTCAAACTGAACTTGGTCACCTCCATGATGGTTCTAGAGGAAGCATGTGATTGATGAGACCTTTCCCTGCCCTGCAGGATGAGGGAGGGGGATATGGGGTTTGCTGTCCATTGCACAGATCCCTTGTGTGGATCCCTCACTGGCTGGGTTGCTCCCACACAACCTGTGATAAGAAGTGCAG